CCCAGACGTTGCTCAGAAATGCAAAACTTGCTCGAGGTTGCCAGAACTACTGAAAGCTTTGCTTTTAACACCAGAGGTGCTCTAAAATTATGCAGGTTTTCTAGCCCCGCTATGTCCAGTCTGAAATGTTCTGCGTTTCTTCGCCCCACCCCGAAACGGGCTGCCGACCCTTAGAGGGTGGAGGGAAGGGACGGATGACATTTATGCCAGGAATTAGCTCTTTTTTCCCCCTAAATGTCATTTTTCTAAGGATACAAGTAAGGAATTCATAATCGTATTTCAAAATGTGTAAGCAGGCGTTTATGTAAAGTAAGAGAATATAAGGGCCAACCACTTCATAGTCTGTTGTGGGAAATATGTTTTTTTAGTCTTACGTTTTCATAATCGCTCTAGCGGATAAGTCAGTGAAACTAAGGATTTTGATTATTTACATGTTTTGCTTTTATAGTTACAGAAGACACTGCGTGAGTGTCTTTTTCGGAATGGTATCTGTCTTCGCGGTATAACCTGGGTCTAAAAGTTCTTTGTCACGCAATCTCATTTCGTTAAAGGCAGTAAAGGAGTCGGTTCTGTTGTCAAATAATGTGAGGTAGGTCAAAACGTTTTCCTTTTTTATAGCTATAACGATTCGGTTCATGAGAAATGAGAGCATTTTAAAGAATAGCTACCGACACTAAAGCCGTTTTGTAGATACATGATAACTGTTACAAATACGGCAAAAGTAAACAAATACGCACGTAAGGGATGTGTTGTAGTCAAGAAGTTCATAGCACACTTTCGCACAATAAAATTGTTTTTCCTTTTGATAATTTACCACTGTGAAATCTAAAATCGTTTTTGGTGTTTAAACTGGCGGAAAAGGGGCGAATTTGCGTCAGAGTTTCAAGTGCTGTTCTCCCTTGTATTCATCAATACAACTGCAAGTTCAGACGTAGTAAGTCACGTGAGTACCGTAAATGTTTTCCGTTGTAAAAACTCGCGGTTTCAATTGCCCCAGAATTTTATTTCACAGATTGATAGGGGAAACATTGCTCTTTCTCTGGAATACCATTTTTCTAATGAAAGCCATGTACCAGGAAGGGATTTTCGCCGTTGAAAAATGGCAAAATTGATGGTCGCGATAATGCTGATTTAGAAGGTAATTTTGAAAAAATATTAAAAAATCAGATTGAAATCTTTTGAAATTGTAACAACGTTTAGGTAGAAAGGAAGGATCATAAAATTGTTTAATGTAAGAAAAGTTATGGTATTAGTTTCCGTTTCCATTCACGAAGCGAGGGTATCAAGCACATTTTTTCGTGGTTTGGAGGCCTCTCGAAGGTGAAAATTAAAAAAATTATTATTTTGGAAAATATTGAGTCAAACGAACTGAGTCTTGTATTTTCTAAAATAGTTTCCACATGGCTTTGTTGGGACAAAGTTTGGGGAATTTCGACTTTTCCATCTTGCACACCTATCCGTGGTATTTACAGAAAGTCGCTCTCAATAGCGCCACAGTTCTTTTTTTGTTTTTCATTCTAGGTCAAATATAAGGTTCTTTTTTTATGAATTATTTGACTTTGTACTTACTCATTTCACCGTTCAACGCAGTCAGTGTAAAAATTACTGCGTGATAACTAGTTTTATTTCCTTAACTTTATACGATGCAATTTTGACATGCTATTTACTTTCTTAATAGATTCTCAATGAATTTGCGGGGAAATGTAGAGTTTGACGTTTTAGAAGGCGGTAATTAAGGCAGTTACCTTACATAAACCTGCATATTTTGTGCGTTTATTGGATCTTGGTTTATAGAAATGGTTTAATTTTACCTTTATTCCAGATGCGTCGTATTTTGTTTTGACGCTATTAAAACAAAAGGAACATCATCAATAGTTGTTATAGCTATCATATACAGAGTTGATTTCACCTGGCCATAGCTGATCAATGGATATTTATAGAGTTTGACTATGATACGAAACGGAACAACAGTGGTAGGAGTAAGTATTCCGAACTGTATAGACAACACAAGTGGCACAATTTTCCTTCCGCAATGAATGAAACACTGAAGAATTGCATGACTTGCGACCCCTTAACGAAACGGACATTGATTCTACTGTTGAACGTTCATGGGATTATCACAATCATTGCTTTGCTCGGGAGTTATTTCGTGATAAGAGCGTTTCACAAATTTCGCAACCTGCGAACTGCTTCCAACAACATTCTGGTGAGTTTGTCTATCGCCGACGGCTTATTAGCGATTCCCTTGATTCTTGATATCATTCAGTTATGCCTTGACTATAATGGTGGGAATCTTTCATGTATTCTTAAACGAGTACGCGGAACTGTGACCTTGTTCCTCCCTTCGGTCATTGTTCTTCATCTCACCTTAATGAGTTCAGAACGGTTCATTGCCATCAAGTTAGCTTTAAGATACCAGGCCATAGTGACCAAACGTCGAGCACGGATTGTTTCCATCGTGATGTGGCTATGGGCTCTGGTCGTTACTGTGGCTGTCCCAAAGGTGCTTCAGAGAGCAACAACAGGCAAAGATTTCAGAGAGCACATCAAACCGCCTCTTCTTGTATTCCAAGCTGTGTCAATGTGTGTTGTCCCCGTGTTGATCATTTTATGCTCGTACACCTACATCTTCATGGTGTCTTACAAGCAGAGACAACTTGTCAGAGAACAAGGCTGTAACATTCCAGGAATGTCCACCGTCAAGTATCACATGAAAGGTGCCCACACTCTCGCCATTGTTGTAGCGCTGTGCCTACTCAGTATCATCCCTATGCTGGCTGTGCCTTTCCTCCGAGTCTTCAGCAAATCACTCGGAGACCGCTGCCGTCAAATGCTACTGAAGCAAATCTTTTACTACGTGGCCATTTTTGTGAATGCCATATGCATCCCTCTTATCTATGGATGGAAAAATGAAGAATTTAGAAACGCTTTTCGTAAGATACTGAAATGCTGCTAAGTGAGGTTAGTGCGCAAACGTTGTTAGGCGTCCAAGATTAACTGTACAGTAACTGTATTCTTTTGTTTAAGGCAAATTGGCCAAGTATCAAGTACCAGACGAGACCAAACTCCCTTTTGTAAGCCACTGAGAATCGCTCAAGAGGTTTCTACCTGCTAAATTACTGGACTCAAATAACGAGCCCTACGCAGGAATTATATGGTGTCAAATTCTTATTCATTTCATGTATAATAATAGTATAGTGGCACGAATGTAAGTTGTCAAATTTTATAACAAACGTATCCTTTTGCATGAGTAAAAAAAGAGACTAATTATATGTTCTATGATCAGATCTAGTGAAAAAGAGTTTTTGGAAGAGGCCCAGTGGAGGACATACACTGATACATTGCGAATTTGTCGAAATTTTTACTGTCGGCTGAGAAGTGAGAGGGAGTTTTAATTATCTTAATTAGGGAAATCTGTCATTTCGGCTGCTAAAAGGACCCAAAAGGGTTAACCGAGATACATGTTTTGGCTGTGAAGAAGTCAAGAAAATTCCCCGGCTTAGTTATTTTTTCACAATTAAGGACGGTGTATTTACAGCGGTTCAAAGGAATGCTGCGTCCTAAACTAGCTATGTGAAAGGGGTACCATTAATTGTCAGTAAAAGGGTCTACGAAAGGGGAACCTTTTCTGTCAAAAATAGTATATGTGGTAATGAAAGGTTAAGGCGTTTGACCTCGGGGCGGAGCCTCCTCGTATAAAAATTTGTTGAGTGTGCCCCGGGTGGGGGCATTTATCAGTCCCCTGCCGGACAGCTTGTCGATACTAAGAAGGTATTGTCTTTTTCCAAGACAAAGCTGAATTACTTGAATGATATATAGATTTAGCCAGGGCTAAAAACGAAGCTCTCGATAACATTTATAGTTTGTTCAAACAAAATATAAAATGGTGTAATTGTAAGCTGCGAAGGCAAAGCCGGAGAACAGTGAAAAAACAACATGTCTATGTAGCAAAAAAGCAACTTACTTGTTTTGTACATTTCTTTGCCGTTGTTTTGCACGACTACAACGTGAAACTTCCAGAAACTTCTTAGTTACACGTTGTCGCACGTGTTCTCGTTCTTCTTTTTTTTTCAGTGCCTCTCATTTTCACCTTGCATTGGTGGCCGCTAGCATTTCTCATTTTCTAATCTCACCGCCGCTACAAAATTTTCATGTTGTTCTTCCAACAAAAAAATGTCTCGTTTTTTATATCTCACTCTAGATCTCTGTCGCCATTCTTCTTGGTTGAGCTTCGCTGGCCTGCCGCCTACTTTCTCGAGCCCTATATTCCAAATTTGTGGACATGACAAGTAATCTAAGCTTAATACTTTAGACAACACGGATACAGATGAACAATTTCCGCTGTCCGTATTCGTCTTTATTGACTCTTTAGGTGTCTCTGTTTTACAAACTGCGGGTAGCTATGCGATTTCCCGCCAAAATAACGTTGAGTTGCATTTGGGTTGCCATGACTGTTGATTGAGTTATTTTACATTGGTATGACTGTTATTGTTACGTTGGACGTACGGTCACGTGATTGCCAAAATTTCTCGGACGGGTAGATTCCCACATTTTCTTACCCATGGTGCTCCGCTGCGTGCGCTTCTCGCGCGAGAGCTCCGCTTCAATTTTTGTATCCAGCTGTTATCTTTACTAAAAATAAGTGCTTTCTATGACTAAAAACGTCCTCTTATTGCAATATGCTGAACAAACAGAGCCTTCCTCGTTTATTAATTGCATGTCTACGCCCTGTGGCACTTTGTTTTTTTGCGAATGGGCGTTTTTCGTATTATATTTTACAAGAACAAATTTTTGCGATGAGTTGAACCTGGTTTTTCTTGTTCTTTTTCTCAACGTTTTGTGAATTCAAGATGTGTATAAATTAAAAGGCTTCTTTTTTTACAAATTTTCATCAAAACTTGGTATAGAATGAAAGTTAGTTTGCTAGTTGGTTTCTTCTAAAACAAAACTACTACTTGTCCTCGTTTTCTTAAAGTCAAGTTGTCATAGAAAAACTCAAACAAGATAGTAGCGCACTTCCCGAAGGAATGCAAACCTTGCAGGCATCTCGTCAGTATAATTCGCGAGTGTGAGCTACGAGTGATGCTTTCAGAGCGTATGACAATTTACATGATCCTTGCTATATCTAGCCAGTTTACACTTACCATCGATACATATTTGAGATTCGAGGAATTAAATGAACTTTGGAGGGCGCCAAAACGGGAATGGATGATAAAAAGTAACATCTGTAACAGTAACATCTGTAAACCTGAAGACGGCTGGTATGCCCAGCCGAAATATTGTTATGAAAAAACAATACCCGTTGTTCTGAATTAGCTTTGCAGTAGTCTTTGGACTTCTCGTTCTTGATAAAAAAAGCTACATGAGTTAAGAAGTGGGCCGCAGTTTGCAGCCAGGCGAACTCATAACGCCGCTATATTAACGCGAGCAAGACCTGTTACTCAAAGGTCCTCTTAACGTTTCGATCCGGAGCTGGTTTTTATTGCAGTATAGGTTTGATGGATATCAGCAAAAGTTTTTAAAATTTTTAAAATACCGATTTTTTAAACCTAAAATCAGCAAAATAGACACCTTCAATAGCAAATTAAAACATTACCTCTAGTTTGGAGAGACTTCCCCAGGGGTCCAGAGGCCCGTTTCTCGAAAGTCCCAGTAACTCTTCGGGCCCGAAATCAAATTAAATATTCAAATCGAATTATAAAGAATAGGAGCGCCTGTCCTGGCTTGCAAACTACTCCATTTTGTTTCATTGACTGATACTTTTATCATGTTAGATGCAAAACTATTGAAACCTCAATCTTTAATGTAAACGGAGACAGCTTACCGGGCCCGTTAATTATGGGGACTTTGAACTTTCTGTTTCGTGCTCTTGGTCGGATGTTTCTCTGTTTCTATTTTTGCTAATTTTTCCCGCCTTTATTGACCAAACGAACGCCCTGCATCAAGTTTTCCTGTTGATAGTGTGCATAACGGAGGTAAAAATTTCGCGCATCTTTTTTGAAAGTGGTGAATAGTTTTTGACTGTAAGTACCCACAAATGGCTGTAAGTACCGACAAATGGTTACATAGTAAATATCTACACTCTGATAAACTTGTTGGGATAACTAATAAAGCAGCATCTTGAATTTCGTTATTTTATGCGTATGTATATGTCTCGTATTAAATTTCGCGATTTTTCCCAAATCGCGAAAATAGCGAAATATAATTCTCGCGAGATTAAAAAGGTAGTGTATGGCAAACGTTGGCTACTTCGAACTCTCAATGCTTTTAAGAAAGTCGTTTTCTTCTTATCCTTTTGATTAACATGTCAAACAGTGAAGCAAACCTTGTCCGATAACAGCATATTACACGATCTTGTGCTAAGCACAAGCCAATCAGAATTAGTCCGGCCAGTTGATTTGTCTGCGCGTATGCGTCTGTGTTAAAAAAGAGTCCGCGCAGTTAAGAGGCAGCGTGCAAGCAAGCGGGAAAAAAAATAAAAAAGAGTGTATCGAACTAACTACTAACTGGTTTAACTACGAATAGAAGAATAGTTGTCATTTTGTTGTTGTGTGGATTTTATGGGCCGCGTGTTGATTCTGACCTTTTGCATACAGCTGACAGTTCTTAACCCCATTACGATGCAATTAAAGTCGGATGAGCATTATTTAGAAAGGAAAAACACATTGTACGATCTGCTGGTCTTGTTGCTATAATTAACTTTTTAAAACCAGCATTGAAGTCTGAAAACACATCATGGGCAGCAATTTCTCTTTTAACCCGGAAAAATTCGGACTAAACGAAACGCATTGCCCTGCTCAAAACCTCAGCCTGTCGAAGGAAAAAGTAATTATAATTTCAGTTATAAGCATTCATCTCATCTCGACTGTCGCCGCCGTCTTCGGTAGCTAACTTGTGACTAGAGCGTTTCACAAATTTCATAGTCTTCGAACGGCTTCTAACGTTATTCTGGTAAGTTTGTCAACCGCGGACGGTTTACTGGCGATTCCTTTGACTTTCGGCCTCGTGCAAATTAGTCTTAGACTGTTAAACGGCTCTGATGCTGAGTGTAGCTCCGGTCCTCTTGGAAAAATAACTTTCATCTCCAGCTTTTTTCGTCGTTTACTCGAAAATCCGGCTGAAATTCATTTCGGTTTTTATGAACTAAATTTCAAGGTAAAGGAAGCTTTTGGGCAGTGATAATGAGCGTTCTATTCAGTACAATGTTTAAGTAAGAGAAAGATGAACTACAAAAATTTTCCAAGAACTTAAGACTGCAAGCAGTTTTTCAAAAAGAAGTGATGTTATTTACAAAAGAAGTGATGGTCGATCTAAGTTGATGTAGCTCTTATCCATATCAGCAAATACAGTGTGCCGAACACATAGTTAACACAAAATCTAATTATCGATTATCTTGCTTTTCCTAGAAAAGAAAAAATCTTAAATGAAAACGAATACCAAAAACTGTAAGGAAAAAAATGGTACTGATACACCTCCCCAGGATACAGTAAACAAAAATTA